CCGCCTTCACACCCTTGACCTCCATAACATCCTCCGGCAACAACCCCCTCCACCAAGCATACCAATCCGCCACCTCGCCCAGGTCAACCTCGTCAAGCGACAGCCACTCCGTCAGCGTCTTGTGCCACTTGGGGAACAAGTGCTGTATCAGCACCTCGGCAATAACCCTTCGGCCGAGCGTGGGCGTCCATTTCAGAATACCCCTGAGCACAGGAAGACTCGGTTCCTGATCTGCTGGCTCGACTGCGAAGTTTCGCTGGAGATATTTGCCCATTGAGGGGAGGACGTGGGACATTACGAGCGGTCGCCATTGATCTCCGAGAATGCGTTCCCATTTTGTAAGACCGGGTAAGCGACCCTCCCTGAAATCCCATACGTCGATGAGTTGCCTGAACTTTCTCTTGACGTCTGCTACGAGGCCTGTCCCCTTGGGGTCGAGATGATATGAGGGGAGGTATTGAAGCCAGGGAAAGAGCCATATGTGCGGTAAATTGTGGTGCTGGCGTCTGTTCTTGGGATTCCAGTCTGATACTGCTGTTTCCAACTTCCGAGCGATGTTGTCGATGAATTGTGCGCGGACAAATGATGGTAGGAGGTCATCCCAGGCCTCCATGACGCTAAGCATTTTCTCTGGTTCAAAGACATCCCAGGACCGAACAGCCGCGAGTGCTTTGGGCAGCCAATTCTTGTACATCATGCTTTCGTACGGTGTTGTGGATTTGTGATGACGGCGGTAAATGTCGTCCGTATTGACTGCAACCGAAGAATCCCATTTGCCGACAGACTTGCCATTTGTTGTCGATGGCATGAGTAGTGATTTTAGTTCTTTGAGATCTGAAGCGAAGCGTCTTGGTTCTTGCAAGAGATCCCAGTCTCCTTCTCGAAGGAAAGGGTGGGTAGCTGCAACAGCAATGTCTGCAATCTCTGATGTCGTGGCTTTGAGTTCGAGGGCCTTCTTCAAGCACCCGATAACTTGATCCCAGTCGGCTGTTGCAAGCTCTCCGCTGACCAACTCAGAAAAGACCTGTAATCTCTCGAAATCCGATCGTAAATCGTCCATCTCCTGCTCCTTTTCCTTGAGCTCGAGGTCTATCCACGTCTTTCTCTCTTGCAAGCTCTTCCATTCATCAGAAAAGGCTAACAAGTCTGCCTGCGCTCTTTTGACAAGCTTTCTCGCTTCTATCACTTCTGTCGATTCTGGCGTGGCAGTTCCTGTCGTTGGTGTCATGATGCCACTCGTAGACGTGAGCATTTTACTTCCCGGCCCTGTCATATCGAGAATGGGGGCAAATGCATCAGGGATATGAAGGCCGGGTGCCGCAGCCTTGAGCTCCTCTGCCGTAAGGTACTTCGGTTTCTGTCGTCTTGGTGTACTTGTAGCACTGTCAAACGCAGCTCCCAAGGATTTCTTCTTTGCTTTCTTTCGTTTCTTCTTTTCCTCTTCGTCCGAATCTATAACCTCTTCGCCTCGTAGTTTTGCCTGTCGCTTTTCTTCCTTTCGTTCTTGTTCAGACTTCTCCTTCACAGCACCCAGACCAATACCCTGCGGTCGGAGGTTCGCTTCGATAATGACATTTCTGCCCTGGCCTTCCTTACCAAGACCTTGTCCCTCTTGGTAGCCCATCTTTGCCATCATTCGGGCACCGAAGGACTTGGGGTTTGTCTTCCCCTTTGCGCCAAAGGCACTCGGTTGTGGCTTATTACGTGGTGTCGGAGAGCCCTCGTCGCGCGGGTTCTTGAGAACAGGATCGTTTGCTGATGATGGGACAAAGCCCATGCCGAGAGGGTTCTTGCCATCGAATCGGGTTCGAAATGATGGTCGGGATGTTGCTTCAGCGCTTGCGCTTCGACTTGAGTTTTGGTTGTCGTTCTGTGCGAAACCGCGCGCTACACCACCGAAGCCTAGTCCTACTCCAGCATTGCCCTCATCCTCCTCTTCATCTTCCTCGTCCTGTTCCATTGCGCTTCCCAACATCGGTCGGTTATCGTCGGAATCTTCATCGCCGTCTTCTTTATCGTTTCCTGCGCCTGTTGACACAAAGTTCATGCCTTTATTTCTCAAGGTTGTCCTTTTCCACTTTCTAGCAGGGCCATCGTCTTCGCTATCGGAGCCAAAGATTCCCAGCGCAGCCTTCTCTTTGTTATTACCACCGACACGACGTCTCTTCCTGGGATTGAAGTCACCGAAGTCGTTGTCGGCATTAAGTCCTGGCGCAAGGTGCTCGTCTTCAGATTCGGAGGCTGATGAAGAATATTCGGCTGCGGCCGCTTTGGTGAGGCGCGAGGGGTCAAAGGACGGGCGTGATGAGCCGTTCATCTTGAGAGCGCATCTAGTGACTTTCTGTGTACTGTTTGCGAGTTTCACGTGCGAAAGCGCACTTGAAGCATGGGAAGCAAGATTTGCGACGCGACAGGCGTAGAAATAAACGAAGCTTGGGCATGACGATGTTGGAGAGCGTTATCTTATCGGCACGTGATAAGCATTCGCATAACGATAAGGCCAATAATTTTCAGGTTGTTTGACTTGCTTCTCCACCAACTCAACAACTTACCAACTCTCGCCCACTTCATCCGGATAGGTAGGTGATAGGCTTCCCCAGGACCCCCGCGATCATGGACTCATTCGGGTGATGGCTTTGCCATCCGTTGCAGGTACCTTCAGACTACGATTCCATCGTCTCTGAAGAACCTGCCGCACACCGAAATCGATCGACAACAAGCATTAAACGACAGCCGTTGCGAACTTCCAAACAACCGCCATCGTAGGTACTTCGACAGCCAGGATCTGAAGTTCACCTCCTAACATGTTGAATCAGATGGTCCGAACTAGTGTTCTTAGCGATGCTTTGAAGAGCATCAACAACGCCGAGAAGCAGGGCAAGCGCCAGGTCATCCTCCGCCCTTCCTCTAAGGTCATTGTCAAGTTTCTTGAGCTCATGCAGCGACATGGCCTCGTCTCGGAGTTTGAAGAGGTGGATGATCACCGTGGAGGCAAGATTGTCGTCCAACTCACCGGCCGGTTAGTTATGACCCCCGACTCTGCGACTCACATGTGTCTAACTTGATTTCAGTCTGAACAAGTGTGGCGTCATCAGCCCTCGTTTCAACGTTCGCCTGGGAGACCTTGAGAAGTGGGTTGTTCGACTTCTCCCCGCCCGTCAGTTCGGTCACCTCGTCCTCACCACTTCCGCTGGTATCATGGATCATGAACAGGCTCGTCGCAAGCACGTCTCTGGCAAGATCATCGGTTACTTCTACTAGATGCTCTCTTGCAGCAATTTGGGACCTTGTCGGGCGTGAGAGACTTGACGAATGGCACGGTACACAGGGTTCTGATGTTGAAGGCTCTTGGTAGAAATACGTAGAGAAGAAATGACAGAACCATTCAGGAGTCTCTTTGAGATCTCCCTATACATTTGATCAGCCACCCTGAAGTGATTTGATGGAAACTCTGCTTTTTAACAAGACCTGGAAGTGAGCATATGCTCAAGCATCTGTAGACACTAGCCGCTCAACTTTAAGAACAACATCAAACCCCATTAATCACATTTCTCTACGGAGTTACGGGGCCTTCTAGTGCCCTTTTGAGGGCTTGCCATGTCCAGAATTACCCCTCTTCGAATACGTCTTGGATTCCTTGTCCAAGCTTGTTGAAGAATGTGGATAGCACACCAACGCACGTCAGTCTTTAGTTTATAGCCGCATGACACGTCAATAGCTTACCAGAAGGTTCGTTACTACGCAATGAAAAGCAAGGCGAACTTCAGTAGGGCAGATTGAATGCTTTGATCAAATGTACGGAACATTTCATGGCGTTGGAGCTTTGACCCTGCAGTTGAACTGAAGGCTTGCAGCTACAGTTGGAATGTAAGAGCAGTCCCTTGCGCGTGACATCTGTTCTTCTCAATCTGAAGGGAATATTTCCCCCCAAAAAGACAGATTTGTGGCTGGTGATTTGGTGCTAGAAATAATATGGACGTAATTCTCAATTTTTGAAAGTAATTTGTCCCGTAATTAATTCTGAACCGTCCCTTGGCTGTAGGTGTTGTTGATCTTCATGCATTTTGACGTCGGTGTGGCTGCAGTCTGTTTCTGGGGCAATGGCGCAGATTGGGCGTCAATAAAGAGAACCGGGCCACTTGAATGACAACACACCACAAGAGTCATAAGCCAGGAATGTCCATTTTGGAGGGTCTGTGGCACAGCATCTAAACCCATTTAACTCTCGATATAACTCTTGTCTTTCCCAATTCGACAAACACCGGCACTGCACTATCAATTTCTCATACAGACAAACAAACTGTAAGTAAGGTCCCTGAAAATCAGACCCCATATTCTGTTCTGTCCCGCCGTCATTTTAGGCACTTCAATTTCAACCCCTGCAAATCAGGTGACGGGCGCTTGTTGACTTTCAGTCTTCCCCCTCCAAAAAAACGAACAGGACTATTTGATCGTCCCTCACCCAAACCAAACAAACAAGGATCTGGGAACAAATAGAGTCCCTTGCCTGTTCTTACCTTACCCTGCCCTGCTTCCTTATTTTGGCAGTTGCTTCTTTGTTGCGCATGCTTGTTCCTCTGCAGATTTGGATTCACTAACCTTGCGCTGGGCTCTCCTCTATAGAAAGAACGACGCACTCGTGCTTTGTTTCCTCTTGAACATCCCATCCATTGCCCTTTCACTCACGCGACAAAGCCTCTTCCCTCTATTTGATACCCGCAGTTCAATCCGCTGCTTTAAAACTCTGGTACGTTCAACTTGCATTCCCTCGAATATCATCAAGCCGGTTCTTGCTCCTGTAGAACGTCTCGCGCGCTTATGAGAGCCCAACTAGATCTATATATATGATGGATCCTCCTCGCCGCTCTCGTTTATTTCATAAGCTAATTACCCGCTTAGTCCGCTTTATAAAGCACAACAAGAAGAAACAACATCATCCACTCGAAAGATACCCTGTCTCGAGCTCTCTCCAATACGAAATTTCACCCTCAAACATTACCATGGCTGAAGAAGAAGATTTTAGCTCCATACCCTTGGCGGACCGCTTCACTCACAAGGTCTGGAAGGTTAGAAAAGGAGCATATGAAGAGGCAACCAAGCAGTTCGAAAAGTCTCCCGACGAGTCCGATCCTTGTTTCCGACCATTTTTGAACGAGCCCGGCCTGTGGAACAAAGCAGTTCTCGATTCAAACGTCGCCGCTCAACAAGAAGCCGTCACCGCCCTATGCGCATTCCTCAAATATGGTGGACGAGACTGTTGTCTACGGACACGAAATCAGACCATTACACCCATGGTCGAGAAGTGTCTATCCTCCACACGTGCCGCGATCAAGCAAAACTCCATCGAAGCTTTGCTTTTGTACATTGAGCTCGATGTCGCTGGACCGGTCATTGAGGACATGCTGCCTGGTCTTTCCAACAAGGTTCCCAAGAACGTTGCTGCCACACTGCACGCCCTTACACAAATCTTCCACAATTATGGCTGCAAGGTCGTCGATCCCAAACCTGTGCTCAAAGCGCTCCCCAAAGCCTTCGGTGCTGCCGACAAGAACGTCCGTGCTGAAGCAACGAACTTGACAGTCGAACTGTACAGATGGCTCAGGGAGGCTATGAAGCCCATGTTCTGGGGCGAGCTCAAGCCTACCCAACAGACCGATTTGGAGGCGCAGTTTGAGAAGATCAAGGCCGAAGGTCCTCCCAAGCAAGAACGACTCCTCCGATCGCAACAAGAAGCTCTCGACGCTGCCCCCGAAGGTGGCGAGGAGGGTGAAGAAGGCGAAGTAGAGGGTGAAGATGTTGGCGAGGTCGATGCTTTCGATTTGGCTGAACCTCAGGATGTTAGCAAGAAGATCCCACCCAACTTCAGCGACCTACTTGCCTCCTCAAAGTGGAAGGACCGAAAAGAAGCAGTCGACGGCCTTCACCAGGCACTCAATGTTCCTCGCATCAAGGAAACTGATTTCAATGAAGTCTGTCGCGGACTGGCCAAGTGCATGAAGGACGCCAATGTTGCCGTCGTCACCCAGGCTGCTCTCTGTATCGAGGCTCTCGCAAAGGGCTTGCGAAAGGCCTTTGCCAAGTATCGCAGCATTGTGATGCAACCCATCATGGACCGACTCAAGGAGAAGAAGGCTTCTGTCGCGGATGCCCTCGGCGCCGCTCTCGACGCTGCTTTCGCCTCCACCGATTTGACTGAGTGTCTCGAGGACATCACCACATACCTTGGAAACAAGAACCCCCAGGTCAAGGAGGGTACCATGAAGTTCTTGATTCGGTGCCTACGAAATACCCGAGATGTGCCCAGTAAGCCCGAGCAAGCTACCATCTGCGAGGCTGGAAAGAAGCTCTTGTCTGAGTCAAGCCCTGCTCTTCGAGATGGTGGTGCTGAGATTCTTGGTACTATCATGAAGATCATTGGTGAGCGTGCTATGACCCCTAACCTGGAAGGTCTGGACGACATCCGCAAGAACAAGGTCAAGGAATTCTTCGAGGCTGCCGAAGTCAAGGCAAAGGAGAAGCCCAAGCCCAAGGCGGCACCTGCACCTAAAGCGGCGCCTCCCAAGAAAGTCATGGGTGGAAAGAAGCCTATGGCCAAGAAGGCCGCTCCCGCTGCCGCTGCGGCTCCAGTAATGCCAGATGATACGCCTCCCACTCCTCAGCCAAGCTCTCGACCTGCCGCTGGCAAGCTCGGAAAGCCTACACTTGGAGGATTGAAGGGTCCCCAGAAGAGGACCCTTGGAGCTCCGGCACCTGGCTCTCCTCGCAGGGCGCCCGCTGCTCCTGTCATGCCCGATGACGAACCTGCGCCACCCGCCCAACCTCGCCTTGGTCTCTCTCGTGGACTTGCTGGACGCTCTCTCGCCAAACCTACCGCACCCTCACCCCCAGTTGCACCAGCCTCGCCGCCTCCATCTAGCGGTCTCACTGCCGTGGAGCGCGCCGAGATTGAGGAGCTTAGAGCAGCCAACGACCGGCTAACCCGTCAAGTTGATGAGATGCGACAGGAACGTAGCAAGTTCATGTCAGAGATTCAAGAGCTCAAGAACCAGAATGCTGGCCTGATCGAAGACCACACCCGAGACGTATTGAGCATCAAGGCCAAGGAGACACAGTTGGTCCGGGCGAGAAGCGATGCAGAGGCTACGGAACAGACCAACGACCGCCTGCGACGCGAACTAGAAAGACTTAAGAAGGCTTTGAGTCGTGCTGAAGGATTGGGTAGCTCTGGAAATGGTATGAACAGTCCTGGCCTGGCTTCACCCACACATGATGATGTCTACCGAGACCATGGACCTCCCTCGGTGAGCCGCCATAGAATGAGCGTCACCAGCAGTATGTCTGAAGAGAAGGAAAATGGCGAGCAGATGATTCCTCGCAACAAGCTTAGCCCTGAGATGCGATATGCTGGTAGCGCAAGCTCATCCGGACGTGGGTCTCCCGCACGAGGCTTTAGAAGTGCTGCATCATATCGCGACGACGACCATGCACCAGCACCTTCTCAGCGGCCTATGTCATCGCTGCCTCAACCTACGGGAGGTAATGGAGCCGAGAGTTGGAGAAGGGCAGCAGAGGTGACGAGTCAGCTGAAGGCCCGAATTGAACAGATGAAGGTACGTTAACCCAAAACTATTAGTATCCGATGCGACGGAAACTGACCGTCAACAGGCCAAGCAAGGGCTCGCTCGACCTTAGGAGCATTGTTAGAAACTTGGCGTGCAATGATTGTTTGTTCTAGTACTTTAACGATGATGATTTTTGGGAGGTTTATGGCGGAAAAGCTGGATGGGTACTCCTGGGACTGACACAGACGGTCCTGGTCAGGTTGCATTTTCACGGCGTTGGAAGTTGTGCCACCATCTGTCTTGAGTGTTTCGCTTCTCTTCGAGGGTCTGATAGAATTACACATGGGCCAAGGCTGTGTTTGGGATTTTGCGAAGCAATACCCCCGGCGGGTCAGAGATACCTAGTTTTTTTTAATGCATCGGGTTGGTGATTTGCCTTCATACTACAGTCTTCATTTCACGCGTGATGTCAGTCTTTTTCGAGATAAAACATAGCTAAACGTCATATCTTGTGACATCAATTCATTAACTGAACATGTAAGAAATAAAATACAAATACAGTAAATCCCCGAACTCCGTTATGATCGCTAAGCGCCTCAGCTCAACCTGTCATTCCGACAGCAGGTTATTATTCCTTCTTGTCCTTCTTACCCTTAGATTTATTGTCCTTCTTCTCATCGGACTTGTCCTCCTTCTTGTCTTCAGACTTGTCCTTCTTATCGTCCTTCTTGTCGGACTCTTGCTTGGAATCATCCTTTGACTCCTTGTCAGATGATTCCTCCGACTCCTTGTCCTTACCATCATTGCTGTCTTCGTCAGACTCAGACTTCTTGTCCTCGTCCTTGGACTCATCCTTCGAGTCAGACTCCTTCTTCTCATCCTTAGACTCACCCTCATCCTTAGACTCAGAGTCCTTGCCATCATCCTTCTTCTCTAATTCATCGTCCTTGTCCTCGCTCTTTTCCTCCTTCTTCTTATCGCCCTCTTCAGAAGCCTTGTTCTTGTCGTCACCCTTCTTAGCCTTATCATCATCCTTCTTGGCCTTATCATCACCTTTACCATCCTTCTTCTTGCCCTTCTTCTCTTCTTCCTTCTTCTTCTTCTCTGCTTCTTTAGCCTTCTTTTCTTCCTCCTCCTTTTGCTTTCGTCGGCGAGCCTTCTCCTCAGCCTCCAGCTTCTCCCAGTTGGTATCGTGATCAGCAATACCAGACCTGGCGAAATTGTCGCTCAGACCCTTGGCGGTAATGGCATCGCCTTGCTTGATCTTGGCGCGGCCGATGAGAGAGATGAATATAGCGAAGCCGACCATGGCTGTGAGAAGGAAGCGGTATGAGCCGTACCATCGAGGAGCCCAACCCTTTGTAGCAGCGCGGGAATCGGCAAAGTACAAAGCGACGAAAGCCATGAATTGAGATGTGAGTGCGTACTCTACGGGGAGCATAAGAGTTGGCCATGCGACAATGGAAGCTGCAAGGCCCATGCCGTAGCGGAAACGGGTTCGTTCACGAAGAGGTTGCTTCTCAGCGTACTCAAGACCCTGGTTCCAGCGATTAGCTCATGCGTAGCCGTTGTGAAGCTACAGACTTACCCAGTGAATAGCACCAAGGAACGAGATGATGACAGCACCGTATCCGAGCTGGAGAGGCTCAATTACGCTCAGTAGGTACTTGGCTGTTTCGTGATCGATCATGATAGCATCGTAAAAGGAGTTGCCCGTAGGAATGGGCTTGTTCAAGTCCCAGGCGAGGAAGACGGTCGAAAGCGATGTTCCTAGGTAGGGCAGGGTACCAGCCAAACCGAGAACGCTCGACTCGCGCGGAACATCTGTAAAGGTGAAGGTATCTTTGACAACGTCCTTTGAACAGTTAGAATTGTCGATAGAGTGTCGGTAAGATTGAAGCTTACAATATCATGCTTAAGCTCGCTGGTCATGTCCTGATCAGCGCTCTTAGAGCCCTGAGCTGTAGACGCAGCATTGGCGACCGAGCTCTTAGACGAAACAACACTTGGGTTGGACTGGAGGAGCTCTTGTCCGCGCTTGCGCTCAGCTTCAATGTCAATGGGCTGCTTAGGAGGAGGAGGATTCTCGTCGTCGGATTTGCTAGAGTATACGGCGCGTTGCTGACGCAAAAGAGGCGCAATTGATGCGCGGGGGAGGAGTTGCGAAGCTCGAATGGAAGAAGCTCTTGAGGCAGCGCCCCAAAGGGAGCGGGATGAGGTACGGAACATTGTCAAAGTGATGGAGTAGAGTTCAATTAGAAGCACGCGAGTAACTGCTGCAACCAGTCCAAGCTGATTTCATCTGATGATCGAAAAGGTATGAAAGAGAAAAGAGTTAAGCAGGTTTGGAATGAAAGGGACCATCTAAAACTGAAATACTGTGAGGATCGGTGATTCGATGGAGACACCACAATCATGGAAGCTTCCTGTTATTCCAAGATCTTGGAGCTATCTACGTAATGGCTTGTTTGTTACGGTTTCCTTAGTAATTGTACCTGGCACTGGAACTGGAAATTGGGGAAATAGAATTTCTGCTTGTCACACGCAGAGACAGTCCCGTCCGGCCCGGAAAGGGAGACCAAGCCGTTCATGGATGTGCCATTTTGTTCTGTTCTGCTTTTGTTGTCACGCCTACATCATCGCGATGGATGTGAAGCTATGTCGTGACGTCATGAGTGTTGTATTTTGGTGGAATAGCTCTAGACTTCAGGTGGGCAGCCATTGATACAATGACCAACCAGAAATGGACATTGCAGTTGAGAACAGTTACTGGAATCGGCAATAATGAGAAGAGGGAATCGACAGATAGCCAAACCTTCTATCGTATTGTTGATATCGATAAAATAGTCATGATGTTTAACAGATTAACTCTGCCAAGTCATTGTCTAGAAGATCTTCCATGATGCCCCACCAAAAGTGCCCTGTGCTTTGATGTGCTCCAGGGCTAGGTCCAGCTGTTGGCAGCTCTAAAATTTACGGTAGGTACCCGACCACGTTGGAACGTAAAAAATAAAGCCACTGCCAATTCGATGCCAAATCGGTACTTGCTCCTCCACCAGAATCGTCACCAAATAACAAGTACCTCTGACAGCATCGTCATACACGCCACACCATTCCCCAAAACCGCTGCTTCCCACTTTTGCTCCGGGCCCAGCTGCGTCACTCACTCACTCACAGCCCGACACGAAACCCACCTTTTCAATATCTCCTCCATCACCGAGTTTCGTCCATCTTTACTACTCGAGAGGCATAAGCGATAATACCCTCATCCACCGAATCCCGCCTTTCCCCTCTATTCCACCCAAAACCTCCCGGGGAAATACTTACGATACTGCCTCGAGTGTAACCCCGCTCTACAAAGTCCTATACCTCACGTTCACGCCCGAGGATAGCAGTCGCTTCACCGATCGAGCCTCGCATGGCACCCGTGTCAACAACCACACGCCGACAGATGAGTGCTTGATAAATAAATAACTCGAACCCTACCCCTCTCTCCCCGGCCCGGGTTACGGCCACAATACCGCCAGAATGCTCGAAGGTCTCGTCGCTGGCCTGCTTAATAGGTTCCTGGGCATGTATGTCAAGAACTTCGACCCAACCCAGTTGAAAGTTGGTATCTGGTCCGGCGATGTTAAGCTCCGCAACCTCGAGCTACGCCGCGAGGCACTCGATCAGCTCAAGCTTCCTATAAATGTCATGGAGGGTCACCTCGGCGAGCTTACACTCGTCATTCCCTGGTCAAACCTGCGCGGTGCACCTGTTAAGGTCTTCATTCAAGATGTCTTTCTTCTGGCCAGCCCGAAGGAAGAGGCTGAATATGATCAGGACGAAGAAGATCGCAGGAAACAGCGCCTCAAGATGGAAAAGCTTGACAGTGCCGAGTTGCTCAAGGAGAGGAACCAGGAAGGTTTAAGCCAGGAGGAGCAGAAGAAGAGCCAGAGCTTCACACAAAGTCTGGTGACAAAGATCGTCGACAACCTTCAAGTCACGGTCAAGAACATACACATTCGATACGAAGACTCCATCTCAGCGCCAGGGCACCCATTTGCCCTTGGCGTCACCCTCGAGGAGTTCAGTGCCGTCAGTACTGATGGTCAGTGGAAGCCTACTTTTATCCAAGACTCTAACACAGTCACCCACAAGCTGGCTACCTTGGGTGCTTTGGCTGTGTACTGGAATACCGATTCAACTCTTCTCGGAACAGGCCGAGAAGCATCAACATCTTCGGAGGAACTGATGCCACACGATGAAATGGTAGCGAAGTTCAGAGAAATGATTGGAAAAGACGCGCAAGAGAATGCAAACCATCAGTTCATTCTCAGGCCTGTCAATGGCCAAGCAAAGATCGAGCTCGACAAGTCAGGAGATATTAAGGTACCCAAGTTCAAGGCCAACTTACTCTTCGAAGAGATTGGTCTTGTCCTCGATGACGACCAATATCGAGACGCTTTGATGATGGTCGATTTGTTCCACTACTTCATTCGACACCAAGAATACAAACGCCTACAACCAAAGAATGTCCGACCCAAGGAAGATCCCCGTGCTTGGCTCGAGTTTGCAGGTAACGCTGTGTTATCAAAGATCCACGAACGCAACCGCAAATGGTCATGGGATTACTTCCGAGAGCGACGAGACGATCGAAAACGATATATCGAGCTGTTCAAGAAGAGGAAACAAGGCCATCAGATGTCTGCTGAAGAAACTGATGAGATCAACGCTCTCGAGTGGAAGCTTACGTACGAAGATCTGCGATTCTGGCGATCCTTGGCCCGCAACCAGCTCAAGAAAGAGAATGCAGAAGCTCTCAAGAACCAGCCACAACAGCAGCAACAGCAACAGCAAGGCTGGATCTCGTGGGTGTGGGGTTCGAAGCCTCAAGAAAAGATCGAACAGAATGAAGAGAATACACAAATGACTGAGGAGCAGCGACAAGAGCTCTACGAGGCCATCGACTGGGACGAGAAGAACGCTATCGCCGATGAAGTCGATGTTCCTCGCGAGGCTATCAAGATGTGCATCGAGACATCCCTGAGCACAGGTAGCTTTACACTCAAGAAGAGCCCTCACGACCACGCAGCAGATCTCCTCAGTCTGCACTTTGATGTGTTCAAAGCCAAGATGCTACAGAGAAAGGATTCGGTTCTCGCTAATGTCAGCCTTGGTGGCCTTCGTGTCAACGATGGGACAACACCAGGCTCAGTCTACCCTGAGATTGTCCGAGTCAAGGATGCACCGACTGACAAGCAGCGTAAGCGATTGTCGTTGGCCGAACTTGAGCAGCCAGAAGAAGACCCCTTCTTCCAGTTTGAGTTTGAGCAGAACCCAATTGAGCGTGGGGGTGACATTGCTGTTGTCGGAAAGATGAAGCCTCTTGAGGTTATCTGGAACCCCAACTTTGTTGTTGGTATCGCCGACTTCTTCAGACCGCCTGAGCGTCACATGGAGTCTATTACCGCCCTCATGGAGAGTGCTGGTGCGACCGTTGAGAGCATTCGTGAGCAGACTCGAGCGGGCCTCGAGTTCGCCTTGGAGGAGCACAAGACGATCAATGCTGAGTTGGATCTCCAAGCACCTCTGATCATTGTGCCGGTCAGCATCACCACCGAGAACTCAACGTGTTTAATTGTCGATGCTGGTCATATCCATGTGAATAGTGAACTCGTGGACCAAAGCACAATGAAGGAGATTCAGTCGAAACAAAAACAGGCATACAGCGACGAAGATCTCAAGCGACTCGAGTCCGTAATGTACGACAAGTTTATTGTCAAGCTGACCTCGACCCAAGTCCTCATCGGGCCTTCAGTTGAGGACACCAAAGCTCAATTGGTTGAGAAGACAGATGATGCTCATCTCCATGTTGTTGAGCGAATCAATGTAGACTTCATTGTCGAGACATCCATCTTACCAAAGGCTCCCAATTTGACCAAGTTCAAGGTCTCAGGACACCTTCCAATGCTTCACGCCACCGTCTCTGACACCAAGTATAAGAATCTCATGAAGGTCATTGATGTGGCTATTCCCAAGTTTGGCGGGCCCGCACCAAGATTGGAGGAACGCAAGGAGCCATCTCGCCCTCGTCTTAAGAGCAACTCATCCAACCGGTCACGAAGAAAGTCCCAGCGCGAGCGAAGGCAGTCCACTCCCTTCCCCTTTATGCAATCTGAAACCGCTGTCGTGCTTGATGATATGGACGAAGACGACGACGACTTTGAGGATGCGCCAGATGGAGGTGACGCTGAGCAACTCCAAGTTCAGCAACGTATCTTCGAGTTCAAGTTCAAGGTTGATACCCTTAAGGGTTCACTTTATCGAAGTGACCCTGATGGACAGAAGCCTGATGCATTGCTTGTTGAATTGGTGGCCGAGAGATTCGACCTGGAGTTCTACACCAGACCCTTCGACATGGTAGCTGATGTTTCACTTGGCTCAGTCACTGTCGATGACTTTGTGGACAATCCTTCTGCTGAATTCAAGTCGATAATCTCGTCTGGTGATAGCGAGGATCTCAAAGAGGGCCGCAGCTTGGTTCATGTCAAGTTTGTCAAGGTCAACCCCTTGTCTCCTGAGTTCATGCCCGTGTACGAGGGTGTAGAGACCAATATCAACGCTGTCATATCCACAATCAACTTGGTTGTCACCCGAAAGACACTGCTCACGTTATTGGACTTTATCCTCATCACTTTTACGAATAACGAAGACGAGTCAAATAATAATAACAAGGCTCTACTGGATGACGATGACGATTCGGAAAGCGTCGATACTGCCGTAGCAGTCGTCAACGCGCCCTCAGTAAACTCCAACACAGGATCTATTCGTGTCAAGGTTGACCTGAAGAGTATCAGGCTAATCCTCAATAACGATGGAATTCGCCTCGCTACGTTGTCCTTCAACAAGGCTGACGCCGGCATCTTCCTCCGAGGCAAGACCATGCGTATCTCGGCGCGACTCGGTGATCTTTCACTCGTTGACGACGTTAATCTCGGCGTCTCAGAGGATTCACACCTTCGAAAGCTCGTGACCATCCAAGGAGATGACTTGGCAGACTTCCGCTACGAGACTTTCGACTCTTCGAACCCGAAGGCGTACCCAGGATACGACAGCTCTGTCTTCCTCCGTGCTGGTTCCGTCAAGGTGAACTTTGTGGAGGAGCCATTCCGCAAGATCATTGACTTCTTGGTCAAGTTTGGCAAGATGCAGGCTCTTTACAATGCTGCGCGCCAAGCTGCTAT